TCAAGTAGGTGGCCCCCACATGCTGGAGGACTGGCCTCTCCTCTGCAGCTCCTGTCCTTCCAGCTCTGGGTTCCCAGCTTGCTTCCCAGCAGGCCTTTGGTTTTCTTCCTGTTAGAGCCATACTAAGTCATGTCTGCAGCCTAAGGCACTAAGAGAATTCAAAGGCCCAGAGTGGGGACAAAGGCCACCTACCTCCATTGTGTACGTGGCTGGGGGAACAGCTCTCTCCCTGGTGCCTCCTCAGTGAATAGCGCTCGACTTCGTTGTACTTTTTTATCCAGAGAGACCGTTCTCCCAGTCACAGATATGGGAGCTGCGGCGCATAGGTCATGAGAGTTGTAGAAAGGGGCAGAAGGGAGATGCACGGTCATGAAGCAGAGTCCAGCCCTCACCATGTGCTGTGAGAACACAGCAACCTTTGTGGAGGAGCTTCTCCAAGTCCCACAACGTGAGGTTTACTGCAGAGACAGGAACGTCCCAGTGTGGCACGTGACTCGAAACAGGCTTTGCAAAGCTCATTGACATCTTCCACCAACATTGCCCCTGGGACTCAGATGAAACCTGGGTGATGGGCATCTTTCTCCTTGCCCCAGGAAGATGGCCATTGTGCGGTCTGACTTCCCCACCTTCTCTGCAATTATTCCTTGCAGTAATACATTCTTAGTCACAGTTCTGAGGGCTTCGATCTTCAGTTATGCAGGTGTTTTCCTTAGCTTTCCTTGTTATCTGGGTCCTAGTGACCTGAGGAGTGATGGAGATATGCCATCAGGTCACAGGCTGCCTCTGTGTCGTCAGACATAACATGCCTTCCACTAAGCTACAGCCTTTCCTCGGGACGTAACTGTTACCTAGACTAAATTACGTTTGAGGACTTCACTCACCCAGTGCAGTGTTTGCCCAAGATGAGACAGCGTAGGAGTGCCAGTCCAGCGGGGCTGGTGCTTTGCTCTGGAAAGAAAGGGAGCAGATGGCTGGGGCTTGGACTCAGGTCACCAGTGCAGTCCTTGATATTTTGGGGGGCGTGTTACCCATCTTTCTCTGGAATTCCCAACTTAGAGGGCTGCTTGAGGACTAAGGTAGAGTGCTGAGGTTGAGAGAATGCTGCCCTGATTTAGGCATTGTCCTTAAGTGACAGGCATTGTGACAGTTATGGTCTACAGATGGGGCCAGGTAGGCAACCCATCCTCTGAGCATTGGCTCCGTGTCGTGAAAAGACCTGAGACCAGGGAACAGATAGCACTCGATATCTCCTTTGCCCTTTTGTTGGAAGTTCATTTCTTGCCTGTGGTTTAGCGTGAGGGTTGGAGCTATTCTCTCGATCCAGTAAGTGTCTGTTTGGCACGTGGTTATACCACAGTCTGAATAGCCTCTGACCGGCCTGTGTGGACCACTGTCTTCCCATGTGAACACCCGTTGCCTCTGACAGTAGAATATGCTTTGGTAAAGGCTCCTTCCCCTCAATTCTTTCAAAAGAATTTTGGCTATTTTTATCCATTTTGGCTATTATATAAGCTTTTGCTGCTCTAATCAGAAAAATGGAGTGTTCTTTAAAATGCTGTTGAATTCTTGTGAATACTGGGCCTTTGGTGGATGCTAGACTTCCTCATGATACTGCCAAGCTCCTCTCACAACTCCCCCAACTAGTCTTAATGTTTCCCTGGGTGACCTGGCTCTGCACCTGGAGGATATGCAGATGCTGGGACTCTGTGTCGTGGTCTCTACATCCCGGGACATCCCCATGAGGAAGGCCCAGAAAATGGTAAACACCATCCCACAGATGAGGAGCTGCGACACTGCATGGCTCAGAACCTGTGTTGGGGGGAGAGACAAGAGAGCACTGGGGTGATGGGCTTTGCGGAGTTGTAGAAGAGCCAAGATACTTTCCCTTGGCAGCTGCCCTTCCTAGGGGTTCCCAGCAGCCTGAGCAGACTCCTGTTGCACATGTCCATCTCAATACTGAGTTCAACGGAGTCCAGGCTGCAAGCAGACACTCAGTAAACCACAGGTGTCCACTGTCAGCCACAGGGAGCCTGTACCTGTTGGAGCAGAGTGATACGATTTCCAATGCCAAGAATTAACAGGGCAAGATCTCAGAACCAGGGATAAAGAGGGAGCTAAACACAGCCCATAACTGAGGAGTGTCTGATGCCAACCTAGTTCTTGGCACCGTTTCCAAGCATAATTTCATCTGGACGTCATGAGCACTGCTCTACAAGGACAAGCAGCCTACCAGAAAGTTAGCCACCCCCAGAAGCCAAAGTAGAATCACCTGCACCCTGAAAATGAGAGACTTCTGACGGGCCATATTCCTTTGGGTGCTGAGTCCCTATGGTTAGACCCAGCTAGCTGCCAGCATTGTGGCAGGGAGAGCGAGCACTGGAATGTGTGTGCTGTGGACTCTGGGTCGCTGGTGACCACTAGAACTAAGCATCACACAGACTCTGCTTCCCTAGGAGGCCAAGCACCAGCTCTGTGGCCTTAGCCGCCTCCACTGTCTAGTGCAGGTCATGCATGCCCTCCCTCAACATGGCTGTTCCCTTTCACACTGGGCCCCCAGCAGCAGCTCTCGTCTACATGGAGCTGGTGCTCACAGGCCCCCAGAAGTTCCTCTGCCGTCCATGCCAGCCTCTCGAACACCACGAGTGGAGTAACTTATTACGGCATGGCACTCAGGGCTACAGAGGACAGTCGCTTGGCTGAGAAAACCACATCCCCATACTTGGAGCTCAGCTACGAAATGTATGAGTCTACTCACAAATGTTAAGTAATGTTAGTTTAAAATAGGCAGAGTCCTCCACAGTTACTTTGTTACATGTCCCTGTGTGTCACCTTAAGCTTGGACAGAGTGAGGGTGGGCATTCCTGGTGACAGCTGGTAGCCTAAGTCAGTCTGCCCCTCATGCCTCTTCTCTCCCTTTTCTGCCCTCCAGAGCTGCCATCAGCAGAGACCCTTTCTACGAGATGCTTGCAGCACGGAAAAAGAAGGTCTCCTCCACAAAGAGACACTGAGAGCGAACCAGGGCACAGCCAGCCCAGGAAGCTGTGGCCCTTTCTCCTGCCTCCCCTTGAGGGGCGCTGCGGAGCCCAGCAAAGGAGAGCAGAGGGTTCCCCTGCCAGTCCCTGCCAGCTCCCAGAGACTAAGCTTCAGCTTTCGCAGTTTTCTAGGTGGGAGAAGGGTGGCAGTGAGGGCTGGGGCTGGAGACGGCTACTGCCACTCCTGGGCGCTGGAGCCGCTCCCAGCACCAATCGCTGCTAGCAGAGCAGCGCTGCGATCCCCACGCCTCGGCTCAGCGGGCTGACGGCAGCGCCCAGAGCTCTCTCTTTACCTCGCAGTGTTCCTGGCCAAGGGCCTTCACCTCTGCTCCACAGATGCCTGTGAGGACGTACTCTTACGTACTAAGGAGAAAGGAGGAAAGGAAAAGAAGCCACGCACTATAAAGATTTATTTTTGTTTTTTTAAGCAAAAGTGAACGTAGCACTGTATCCTGCTCTCCTGTGCCCTGCTTGGGAAGCCTCCCCTAGAAAGGGGCTCTGGGACTGCTGGCACCCCAGAGGGGCAAAAGCAGAGCTGCTGGCAGCACCCAGCAGACACAGGGAGGCCTCCAGGGCCCCAGTAGGGCAGCAGGCAGGCAGTATGGGTAGCTCCTGCCCAGTGCCTGTGGGATGGGGTGAAGTAGATAGCTCCTTGCCTGGCCCTCAGTATCCAGGCCCACTGCGCTTTAAAGCGGAAAGTCTGCATTTTCCTATTAACCAAAACTGTGAGGAGGTCACCCCATGGTCCCGGGTGGCTGACTGTTTCATAGCTGGTTTTTCTTTCTCCTCCCTGAGAACTCCATTCCTCGTTCTAGAGGAAGGAGTAGGTTTTATCTGATCCCCTTGGGGCTTCAGCCTTTTCTGCCTCAAATGTATCCCCAACTGGACTATTCTGGTGCACTCTGTGGTAGCCTCCAGGAGCAGGGGCTTTGCTCAGCAGGGTGCAGTCAAGCAAGGGTGAGGTGGCCTTTCTGTCCCCTTGCCCTCTATGACATGGCATGCCATGGCATGTGTGTGAGCTGGCCCTGGTCTCCTGACTCAGTGTGAAGGGAGCCAGGAAATGCAGCATCTCCTGCCGTTCTCTCAGGGACTCTCAGGGCAGCTCCTGCTCCTCCATGTGGCCAGGGCCTCAGTGGCAGAATGCTGCCTCCAGGCAGGTTGGAGGAGCCATGGGCCCCCACTGGGCTGCATGAGCTCAATCTCAGAAGGGGGCAGCACCTCTGGAAATAGCTTTGCAAAGAGGGGTGAGTTTGGGGGCAGCACTCTGGCCCCCTTCCTGTGGATCCGGCCTCGAGTGGCTTCAGGTGCTTGATGCTGGAGTGTGTGAAGGCGACAGTGACGGAAGAGGGTCCAGGCTGGAAACTGAGCCTCCTGGTAGAGAACCAGGCAGTGCCGGTCCCTGTTGTGGGGGAGTCGGGCCAGGGCCAGAGCCCCTCCTGCACAGCAGTTCTCATGGGTGTGTCCTGGGCGGACCAGCATCTGGCTCAGTCCCAGTCTATTTATCAGAGGTGTAAATAATCCATACATAGTTTTCCTCCTTTTAGATTATTTTGTATTTGTTTTAAAAAAAAATTGTCAAAATACGGAGAAATGACTGAAAGTTGTTGACAGGGTTTTTTAAAAATATTATTATTCCAGCTGTTTTTGTTTGTTTTTGCCTTGTAAACTAGCTCCAAGGAACTGCAGCAAATAAACTCCAAACCTGCCCAAACCGCTCTCGTTGTCCGCCTGGCTGTGGGGCCGTCTCTCGTTGTCCGCCTGGCTGTGGCGCCATCTCTGCTCAAACCACTCTGATTGTCCGCCTGGCTGTGGGGCCGTCTCTGCCCAAGCCACTCTGATTGTCCGCCTGACTGTGGGGCCGTCTCTGCCCAAGCCACTCTGATTGTCCGCCTGACTGTGGGGCCGTCTCTCGTCCAGCCTGGGGTCGGGCTGGTGTGCGCCTGTGGCATGGACCCGGACCCATCCTGAGTGTGGTGGAGATTAAAAGCAGAAGTTGGGTAGGCAGTGTTTCTGCAAAGGATGGCATAGCAAGAGGAGAATGGACTTAACCTTTGCCCCCTCTTTTTGGGGTGGAGCAGAAGTGTTCACATTAGCTACCCGCAGCATGGCATTGAATCTCCTTGTTGGCATCTCTCTTTGCTCCTTTCTTTTTTCCTTCCGTCCTTTCTTTTTTCTTTCTCCTCCCTCCCTTTCTTCCTCCCTTTACAGCATTTCATGTAGCTCAAACTGGACTTAAATTCCCTGTCCAGCTGAGGATGACCCTAATTTCTGATCTTCCTGAATCCACCTCTGTCTAGTGCTGGGATTACAGGTATGTACTGTGCCCGGTTTGTGCAGTGCTGGAGATTGCCCCAGAGCTTCCTGTGTGTGAGGTAAGCAACTTAACTTTATCCCAAGCCTGGGGGGCAGGCCAGAGCCAGAGCCCCTCCCACAAACCTATTCTCACTGTGTATCCTGGGCGGACCAGCGCCTGAGTCAGTACCAGTCTATTTATCAGAGGTGTAAATAATCTATACGTAGTTTCCCCTCCTTTTAGATTATCTTGTATTTCTTTTTTTTTTTAATACAAAGAGATGACTGAAAGCTGTAGACGGGTTTTTTGAAAATATCACTCCAGCTGGTTTTTGTGCCTGCCTTGTAAACTAAGGGAGTTTACTCCAAGGGAGTAGTAGGTCACTGGGGGCATGTATTTGAGACTGTATCTTGTTCTCTCTCTCTCTCTCTCTCTCTCTCTCTCTCTCTCTCTCTGCCTCCTGTGTGCTGTGAGGTAACATGTTGTCCTCTCTCTCTCTCTCTCTCTCTCTGCCTCCTGTGTGCTGTGAGATAACATGTTGTCCTCTCTCTATCTCTCTGCCTTCTGTGTGCTGTGAGGTAACATGGTCCAGCTGTCACTATGCTCTACTTCACCAATCCCAGTATCACCAGATCCCTGACACCGCTGAAGCCGTGAGTCAAACAAACATTATCCCTTTTGGTTCCAGGTGTTTGGTTCACATCCAGTAAGGGACTAACAACCTGATGAACTCTATGCTCAGCAAACAGACCACTGCCCTGACTTCCAAGACAAGAAGCAGGCCTGGGCAAGAACAGCCCCAGCAGGGATACTATTCTTGTCTCCCTTAATCCAGGTGTCTGCATCTCATTCCTTGACATTTGATGGCATTTACTTATCTCCTTTTGGTTTAATTTTCTGTACATATTTGATCAAAATGAATCTGCTGATGTGTTCTGCATGGCTCTTGCTGTTTCCACTGTGTCTTGCTCATAGCACGAGGTCAGCACTAAGCACCGAGCCCCTGCCTGTGAGCATCTCACATTTAACTCTCTCAGCCCTTTAGATGAGCTGCTTCTACCACTTCCTTCTGTGCGGCTCCAGGCCCTTGAGAGTCGCTCCCTGGTCAGTTCAGTCAAAAACACTATCCCGAGCTCGTCTCTGCGCCCTTCACAGCTCCTGTTCATTCATTCGCTTTCCTTCAACAAACGCCACCTGGGGTCTCCTAGACTTGAAAGCCAAGAACTGTGTCCATGACCTGACTCCAAAACGGCCTGGCTGAGACGCCCCCAGAAGAAATAGAGCAACAGAACAGCACAGCAGCTGTGCTGGAGACAGGACAGCCGGGTCAGGGCGTGTGTGCCGCTCCTGACTCATCTCTTCCTGAGCACTAGACTGACCGCCAGCGCCTGCTAGAGAGCAGCAGAGCAGTAGACTGTGGGCAGTGAGACGATACCAAACCTTCCCTGTGTGTGTTACTCCTAGACTGTCAGAGTGGCTTAAACAGAAGCAATGCTTTGCAAAGGTAGGAGCCATGGATGGCTAGCTTGCTGCCCCTTGTGCTGTGCTGGCCACAGGAAGTGACCTCATCACTGCTGGGCAGGGTAGTGCCCTGTCTCTGGCGTTCCTCCTAGGCTCCAGCCTTGCCACTGGGTTGACCTGTGTAGCCCTGCGTAGCTTGTTTGCCAGCTCTGAGGCTCACTCCACTGTGAGTGTGACCCTGAGCGTGACAGCTACACTCAGTGTCAGAGGTTCTCTGGGCCCAGTAGAAGGTGAAAGCAGAAAGTTTACCCACTGGGGTCCAGCTTTCTCTGAAACTAGCCAGTGTTGGAAAATGCTCAGGGGAGGGCCAGACTTGGGTCCATCTGTCTGTCCCATCCACGGTTCTTATCCTTCCGGTTAGAGGCTGTCTTGGTGAAGGAGGAGTACCAGTCCTTGGGAAATGAAGTATCCAGTATCCACTGCTTAGCAGTCAGAACAAACCCAGGCTAAGAGCAGAGATAGGGGTGATGGGGGCACAGGCAGGGAAGCACTGTCCTCCGTCTCCATCCCAAGTTGCTTCATCACATCAGAATGTGACACAGACCTCTCAGGCGTGTGTATGTGGGAACTTAGCAGAACCCAGGCTAACAGGGACAGTCACGGATATGTTGTTTATTGTGTAGGCCTCTGTATCCTTGGCGTGTGCGTGTCTGAGTGTGTCTGCTCATACCAACACTTGGTTTGTTTTGCTTTTGTGTTTGGCCCTGGTTTTTGTTTTATTTTTGTTCTTTTGGGAGCTCACTGTGTAGTCCTTACAGGCTGGAACTCCCTGTGCAAACCAGGCTGGCTGAGACCGGTAGAGCAGTCCACTGCCTCTAGCTCCCAAGTGCCGGGACAACAAGCACTCAGCCTCGGCTCCTGTCTCACGGGCCTTTTACTAATTAAGAATCTCACTGTGAGGATCCAGAAGAGGACCGTCTCTGAGGTGAGCTATCAGATTGGAAGGAAGCCATTGCTAAAACACCTGAGGCTGTGATGCATACCTGAGCCCTACTGGTCAGGGGCTGTAGGTTAGGGACTAATCCTTGATAACTCTACATTCATACCAGGGGGGAGTTAGGCCATGGTGCCTCCAGGCTTTTACATCCAGGTGAGTGAGAACATGGGTGACAGTGGAGGCAATGGTGTTGACAGAATGCTATCCTAGCACTGTTGGCAGACAGCCTTGGGTATAAAAGGCAAGAGGGAAAAGGGTGGTGTGGGGTGCCAGGTGGATGCCCCCTAGCCCACAGAGAAATACAGAACATGGCCGTTTCCAAGGTCTTGGGCGGGTACAGCCATTGGTCACATCATTCCCTAGTATGTGCTCTAGGGAATTGTACCATACACCAGGTAGAGGAGGGGCCTGCCTGAGGAGAAGGCCAGCCTCCATGAGTGGGTTGATTTCACCAAGGGCCAGGGCAGCCCAGAGTGGGCAGGACCAGCATGACTAGCAAGTTCCTGATACTTCTAATGACATAGCTGGGCATGGTATGATTGTTGACATGCCAAGCCCTTGGTGTAAATCTGCAAATCCACCCCCACCCCACCCCCACTGCCACACTGGGCAGACCGCAACTGGGTCATGGACGTTCTCTGTCAGACGGCAGGGGAACAGGCACACATACAGTGTTCTTCAGTCAGCGTGTTTCTCAGGCCAGTTCTTGGGCTCCAGGAAAGCACCCAGGGGCCAGGGCTTTGCAGGGGTGCCCAAGTCATTCATTTGTCTTTTTCTGTTGGGGCATGTGTGTGTCTCACTAATCAGCCCAAGAATCTGGGGTTCACTGTGTAGCCCAGGTTCGCCTCCAATACGCAATCTTCCTGTTCCAGTGCTTTAAGCACTAGAATTACCGCTTGAGTGCACAGGCCCAGCTTGAGCTGTTCATACTATAGTGACATGGGGGGTGTCAAATGGGGCGGTTAGAAGTTGAGACCCTTGCCTGTCCTGGTGAGGACCTGATTTAAATGAGTTGCCTGTGGGAAATGCAGAAACCACGCTATGTGCTATGCAAGCAAGGGCTAGTAGAGGCATCTCGGGTCCCAAGGAGCAGAGGCGCTGCTGGAGATGTAGATACAGCAGAGAAGGCAGGCTGCCCAGCTGCCCAGCTGTCTGGCAAAGCCCAGTGGAGAAGCCCGGGGTATCTTCTGTCTCAGAACTTCTCCCCAAGTAGACCTTCCTAAAACAGGAAGTCCAATGAGATCCCATCTCAGCTCTCCACAGGAAGACAGCCTAGTCCAGAGAGCCTCCATGTTGTCCACACATCGTTGAAAACGATGATGCATGAACAGAGCTAGGCGCACACAGCCAAAAGACAAGAGAAACAGCAAACAAAGGCAGATCCCATGGTAACCTAATGAGGAAATCTGTTATCACTCATATAAAGTCAGTGAGGCAATCCAGTGGGACAGCAAAGCCTTTTCAACAAGCAGCACGGGAACCAACTGCATGAGTAAGCTACACACTCCAAAATATTTCAAGATGGGTGTGACTTGATCCTCCGACATAAAGCCAAGAAGCCTCTAAATGAAAACATAAAAGTGTATAATAATGACCTTGGAGTCAGCAAAGGTTCCACAAGCTGGGCTTAGGAAGGTTGAGAACCACCTTCTGACAGCAAGCGTGGTGCTCGCTAGCCCTCTTGATGGGTTCTGGAACCTGGGGCCTGCTGTGAAGAGGACAGCCACAGCACCCCAGGGAGACACATGTATTTAATCCTGCTACCACCTAATGGGGGCATTAAATTCAAGCAATACTGAGATATGTGCAGGAGAGCATGGTCCACAGACAAGACAGGCTCCCACCGGCTTTCTGGAAGCCAGTACAAAACAAGAAATGGGATCAGATAATGCTGCTATCCACCACTTCCGCGGGGAAAGTTAGAACTCACTGCGTGAGAGACTGAATAATGGGTGTTGAGATCCAGTCAAAGCAGAGCTCATTGCATGAGAAAGGCTGAATGATGAACCTTGAGACCTGTTTTTACAAGCCAGGAAGGGGACCCTAGATCTCCCCAACTAGTGCGGAGTTAAACAGATCTGTCGAAATGGCTTGACCTGTGTTACGAGAGTTGTCTGAGAAAACCTAATGTGTCTTTATGAAAGCCAAGGGATTTTAGAACTGGACAAAACTAAAAGAGCCCAGTGCTCCCTGCTCCCGAGGAGTGAGGAGCCTGAGCCCTCCTAGGTGAAGGTCCCTGTGCCAGGTCACCTGGCAGCGTGGCCCAGGGTAAGGAACAGTGAACTCTGCTGGGAAAGTTTTCCCTGTAGTTCGTGCCGAGCTGAGAGACGCCTGCTGAGTGAGGTCAGTGTTTGTTTTGCTGACTGAATTATGCAGACGCAAGTGGGATCATTTGTGGTCGCATCCCCAGATTATTCTAAACTAATGACTCATGTGGCTTCCCGCTTACAGTAGCTTTTGTTTTCCGTCCTTGCGTCTCGAATTAGTGAGAGGTGTACTTTGCTTTGAAAGCTCAGGGACCTTCTGGGATGCTGTGGCCCTCTTGCTGTAGTCTTTTTTTTAAAAGCCCCTTGTGTTAAGAATCTTGCTGTGCAGCCCAAGATGGCCTTGAACTCAAGCATCCAAATGCTGGGACTATAAAATGTACTTACATGTCCTTCATTTTTTTATTTTCAGGATGTCTGTGTGTGTGTGTGTGTGTGTGTGTGTGTGTGTGTGTAAGAGGCTTCTTTAGAATGTTTAGTTATTTAATTTTTATTGATTACAGTTATTCTTTGACAGTTTCATACGTGTATGTAATATTTTCCTTTAACTCTTAGCCCTCATCTCTCCTCAAGTCCCTCCCACCCCTGTTGCCCTTCCCCTCCCTGCTCCCTTGTCCCACACTCTCGCCTCTGCGCTTCGTCACACAGATTTGGAACTGTCCATTCTGTGCAGCTGAGGATGCTGGGCGAGTCTCCTGCCACTAAGGCCTGCCCCGGCGCCCTCTGTTCATTGGTTACGGCCTTTTCCTGGGGTTCATGTCTAGGTCATGTCAGTGTCTCGCCCTGACTGCTGAGACTCAGTGGCAGCCTTCTCAGTTGAACTTTTGGAAGCAGGTCAGGAGAGCATTGGCGGGAAGCACCCCAGAGCTGACCGGACTCCCCAGCGGCAGCAGCGCCTTCGTTTCCCCATTTGGTGGAGGCCTGGAGAGTCCCCAACTGTTGTCCCTGTCCAGTGGGGGCTCCTACGTGCATAGATATAGTGAGT